GTTATGAAATCTGTTCTTACCATTTCCACTTTAATATTCCACATGTTTTTAAACTTATTGCATGTTTCCCATGTGGTTTGATCAAACAAGTATTGCTTTTAGTCAAAGCTGTGGAAATGACAAAACATTTACTAACATATTCAGCTGTTGACTGCTAATGTAGGGGAAATGCACTTGATTATGGGCTGTCAGTTTCAACTGGCGCTCCAGTTATTCCTGCGGTGTAATAATGCAGCTGTCCACATACACACACACACACACACACACACACACACACACACACACAGAGAAAACATTTATCCTCTCGTCCAGCATCTAGAAATGCTAACATTAATTTATTCGTCGTGCTGCATATCAAGGACACGGTGATGCCGGCAGGTTTGCCTTGCTTTTTATCTTGTAGGAAATATGAATTTCAATAAAGTCTGCAACTTTAATCTGTTCACAAGCTTTGCTGAAAAAAGATAAAATCCTCCGTTTCTGGGTCAGTCACGACAAGATCAGTTCTCAAGAACATTCTTGTTACCAGAGATCAGTTTATAATCAGACTTTGAAAGAACTCGTATCTGAATGTAAGGATATGTTCAGATTCAGAACATTAACACACTGCAAACTCTATAAATGCAACTTTTTTTTTTATTATGTGAAAAAGTATGAAAAATAAACACAACAAAGTGGGCGCGGGGGGTGTATTTTCCAGAGAAAATAATAATAAAAACGAAAATAATAAAATAAATAAGCAGTGTTTTTTTAGTTTTTGAATTGATAAAAAGAATGAATTTGATTTTAAATAGTTATTTAGGTTAAATTTATTTATTTCCAGTAAATAATTTTAGTGCTTCAACTTAAACTTAGTTCAACTCAATTCATTTCTAAGTTTTTCGACTAATATATATATTTTTATTTTAGCTTTTTTTTTCAATTAACAAAAGTTTTAGTCTAACGATGATAACCCTGAGTTAAAGTGTACAGAATGTGACATTATTACTGTTTTATTTTAATCATGCAATTAATCACTTTTTTCAGTATTAATGGCATCATCATATATCGCATGTTCAAATCACTTTCATCAAGTAATCTTAATTCTGCATTTATGTTTTCAGTGTTTCGCTGTTACTACACTTTTTTTTTGTTACCAATCAGCATCTAGAACTGGAACTGTCCATTTTATAATGTGCATTTTGGTAAATGTAGTAGTTGTGAATATTTTAATTACACCGTATGTGCATGTAAATATTGCAAATATAAGCAGCCTAATTTTTCTTCGTGTGTGTGTTTATTCTTTCAGGTAATCAACCAATCCAAAGCGAGATTCAGCCCGAGTATCAGCATGATCAAGAAGTGCATTGAGGTTCTTATCGACAAGCAGTACATCGAGCGCAGCCAGAGCTCTGCGGATGAATACAGCTATGTCGCATAAGACCATATTAATTTAATGAAAGAAAATAAACGCCGTAAAGCGTGAACGGTTAACATGTGTTTTATTTTCGGCTCTGGCTGGCTCCGGCACTCGACCATCGGATTGAATCGGGACTCTGTGCCTCCATCTTTGTTAAAGGGCCTCTGAGTAGCTGGACAGTCATACTTCATCTCTCCACCCCCCCGCCCTCCTCCTTCTGATTTTATGCTGTTTACATCACCAGTGCCACGCTCAGTGCGTCTACCAAACAAGAAGAATGCCTATAGCTACTCCAGTGTAAAAGGATAATACATTTTTAGACGTAATCTACAAGAGAAAGCGAGCAAATGAAATGCATCACATAGAGCAAAACAAGTGAAAAGTTTGAAACCGGCCGGAAAAAAACAACCACGCTTTCTTTTTCTCACGTTGCAGTTGTTGTGTGTATTCTTTTTTTTAATGTATCAAAGTAAAAAGAAATATTGTAATAAAACCGGTATACTGATAATTGCATTTACTTTCAAAATATTAAAAAACAAATATGAGGTGACAAACATGATTCTGCTGCTTGTCAAATAAACAAATAAACACACTTTTTTCGTAAATGTTTTAAGAAGAATGACTTCATCATCAGTAATTATGAAAGGTGAATTTTTAGCATCTTTATAAGTCATTTCTGAAAGATCCTGTTTATAAGTTGAATGCATAAGTTGAGATTTTCCTTGAGCCCGAGTTTAGGGCGTATGGTGGAAATATGGTGGACACAACTAATACATCTGTGTTGCCATAAATTTGTTGAAAGGAATTTTTTTCATTTACAATAAAACTAGCTAAGTTACATGTACAAAATAAGTTAAAAACACACCTAAGACAAAAAAATATATATATATTTGTAAAAAAAAAAAAAAAACAATTGCTGTATTTTTTTGTAGTAAAGTTACATCACCATCTTACTCTGACCAAAGTGACTTGACCGTACCTGAAGTCGCAATTATGACGTGGGCTGCGTCCTAAATCTCATACTCTCTTGAGTAGGTACTTATTTTGAACAAGTAATTACTTCACGACCGCTAAAAATGTATGTTCTACATATAATCCAGACGTACTAAATTCATCATGTTGTCATTATCATGTGACCTAACAGCATCAGCGTCGCTTCACTGCGATTCATAAATCCTCTCCCGTGGCCTCATGGGATAGTCAAGTGTCCATTGTATGCACACTTCAGAATCTCACCAGAATCTTCTAGTACTTTCTGCCTTCTCTATTATGAGAACTGTGAATTCAGACATATTTTTTTCGCCTACTTTATAGTAGGGAAGTATGTGATTTTGGATGCAGGGCTTGACTCCCTGAAAATGACACTGGTCTGTTGAATGGTATTGGTGAATGTTATATCGATATGATATAAATTAAAAAACTATGTAAAATCCTATTGGCCATGAACCAGGGTGATGCAAACTTACGGGTTGGCCTACATAAATTCATCATCACAGCACTGCAGAACTTTATGCCAATAGTTTTGCTGCTAATAATGGCCTTCCATAATATTGAAGACCATATCATAATTACCGTAAATAAGAGATGAAAAAACATGACGCTGTACTTGGGAGCTGTTCACGTCCTTGAATTTAGACTTAGCTATACAGTACTTTTCTCTTGCATTATTAACTCAAAAAATAAATCTGCAGTGGTCACGTGGTACCATGTACTCACTCACTTACTGTACGTCACTTACTATGGGCTCGACTGCAGAGAGAGAGAGAGAGAGTGAGAGAGAGAGAGCTGAAGGATGAATGATTCTCTGCTAGTCTTTGTAAGCAAATCTCACTCAGCAACAGCCTGTTCACTTTCAGCTCCTCCTAGCTGAGGATTCAGCACTAATGAGACCCATATGGAGAAGCCCGACCAAAATCTGTGTGTGTCATCAGCAAAATATTTCTGTACAATATACATCATCTTACGTAAGCCTGACATTTTGCAGATACACAGATGTCAAGTCACTGGATGCTTCAGAAATTAATAAATCTTCATTAGAAGAGAAGAGCATATACTTCAGGACAAAGCCTCTGCTTCTACCACAAGGGGGCGTTATGCATTATAAAAAGCAGAAATAATAAGAAAAGGTTATTTTTGTCAAAACGTATTAAAATTTTGTCTTGACTGATAAAAAACGTTTTCTAAAGACCGATGGACCACACAGTCTCTTGAACTAGTATGAAAGACACGATATCTGTCTTGTAAACAAGCGCTGTGAATCTGTCCAATGTATTCACTGGAAAGGAAATAAATAAACCTGTTTTTGCTAAATGTGGATGCAGTTTTACATTTATGTCTTAAAAGATTTCAAGATAATTAAAATCTAACAAATAAGTCATAGTATATGAATAGCAAATGTTAGAAAGTTGGACTGTTGGAAAAATAAAGTCACTTTGTTTTTTTGGATCATGATATCTTGTTACTGGCTCAAGGAGGTCTAGCTTGATGAAGACCAGCATCAGATCATCATCATCATCATTGGCCGCTTGGACTCGCTAATGATCATAAATGACTAGCATGTTCAAGCTTAAAACCACATGAGCTCAGCAACATCAGACAGGTAAGGTAATGTAATCTCAACATCAGACAGGAGATGTCCAGGCGACATGATAAACTACACTGGGATGTAGTGTGGACTAGCCTATATAATTTACTTGTGGATCTTTAGATGTTGAAAATAAAGGTTCACTAATTGGCATCATTGGTTCCATTAAGAATCCTTAAAGGGATAGTTCACCCACAAATGAAAATTCTGTCATTAATTAGGCTATATACTCATGTCGTTCCAAACCCGTAAGACTTTCGTTCATCTTCGGAACACAAATTAAGATCTTTTTAATGAATTCTGTCCCTCCACTGACTCTTCCAAGCCCCAGAAAGGTAGTAAAGAGATCATTAAAGTAATCCATGTGACTCCAGTGGTTTAACCTCAGTTTTATGAAGCAACACGAGTTTGTGAAACAACAACATTATGTATCACTTTAGTTACATGGATTACATTAATGATCTCTTTACTTCCTTTCTGGGGCTTAATAGTTAATTGCGTAGCTGTCAATGGAGGGACAGAAAGCTATTAGATTTCATCAAAAAGATCTTCATTTGTGTTCCGAAAATGAATGAAAGTCTTACGGGTTTGGAACAACATGAGGGTGAATAATTAATGACAGAATTATTTTTTTTGGGCGAACTATCCCTTTAAACATCCACAACACCTTTACATTCCACACAAGGTTCTTTACATAGAAAAACATTATTATTCACACTAAGAAAAAAATGGCTCCTATCAGATCACTGACAGTTTTTTTTGTGGAAACAAAAAAGGCTCTTATGGGATCATTGTAAAAAAACAAATAAACTTTGGAATCTTTATTTTTACGAGTGTAGCCAAATTTCCCGTCCAAACTAAGCGTAGTAGGCTATCCTATGCTAGTAACCACTGGAACAGCCTACTAGCATTTAACGAGTAGTTATCATTAACCTGAAACAGATCCACCTCATGTAGCTACACATGCGGGCTGTGAGTCAGACTGAAGAAGAGAGTGTGTGTGTGTGTGTGTGTGTGTGCGTGTGTGTGTGTGTGTGAGAACCGAAGCCCAACCCACGGCCACTTCACCCGCGCCACGAGCTCACTCAGACGCCGAACAGGTGGTCCAGTCCCACCTGAGGAGCACAACATGAGGATTTATCCTGCTTTTTACCTGTATGGATACAATGTTGCCGTCGCTTACTGATTCTTCCTGAAGAGTTCAACACTTCACGCGCTTCCCTGTGGAGTCTCTGGGAATATCGGGCGAATATGAAAGTGACAGTGTGTTTTGGGAGGACCCGGGTGGTCGTTCCCTGTGGGGATGGGAATATCAAAATACACAGTCTTATTCAGCAAGCGACAATGAGATATAAAAAAGCCATAGCCAAGGTAAGTCGACTGCTTTTGAGAAAAATACCACTGCTCTCAACATGGCGCTTTTTCTGGAGAAGGAAAGAAAGAAGGGAAAGAACGGGGATTAAAGAGTGTCGTCGGTATTCCCGATCAGTCCGATTGAGGTGTTTGTTTATAGATTTTTGCATTTGTTTGTTACGTCACAACGGGTTGTTTGTTAAAATTGTTGCAACTTCGGCGCGCGCTTGTGTGTTCGCGATCAAAACTCCGTCCAACAGGACATGTCGGCTGTTATAACGCTCATTTGTCACAGTGCGATGCATTACAGTGTCTAAGTAAACGGGGAGTGTAGGGAGAACTTTAGAGGCACGGATGGAGGGCAAGGACTGGAAACTTCCCTGGAAATCCGCTCAAGCTGAAGCCTGGATCCACACATGTAGCTACTCTATGTTAATGTCACACATCATTTGACTATTTACTCAAACATTCATGATGAATGGTGCTTTCTATACCTTTATTAGTTCTACCGTTTAAAATTAGCCTATAATGGGTTGTGTGGTTTAGCAGTTAATGGTTATGGATAGGTTTAAGCTTTTCAAATGGTTGATTGACAGGGGATCCGATGAACATGAAAAACCTGTGAACATGGACATTTAGTGGCCTGGAAAAGTCATGAGATTTCTATAGTGATTATAAATCTTTTTCTTGTCCAACTCTGTTTCTGCATGGCCCAAGGTGGTCATCAGCTGCTTGATGAGTTACTAAGTTAAAAAACAAACCCTGACCACCTTAAACTGGTAAAGACAGTGGATAACTGGTTTGTTAGAGGTCTAAGATGGTTTCTAGCTGATCATTAACTAGCTAACAATGTTTTGATAACGTTCTTAAGTCATGAAAACGTTATTTCTAAATCTCTGAACGTTCAAAACACCCAGTTTTCAAAATGTTTTTCTTGGTTATGCAAATGTTCCATTTTTATACTTTTGCAAACATGGGAACGTTACTTTTAAATGTTTTTTATACGTTCTGAAACAAGGAGTAAGTAAATGTTTAAAAAACGTTAAACGAACATCTGACAAATAACGTTTTGTGCTAACGTTTCAAGAACGTTATTAAAGACGAGATATATTTAAACGAACATTCTATTAATGTTTCTGGAAGAACGTTTGTTCAACTTTTGAGAGAACCTTGCCTAAATATTTGCCAACATTCTAAAAACGTTCCTTGTTAAGTGGGAACCATTCAGAAGTCCGGTTCTAAACGTATGGCAAGAGCTTGTGTAGTGAAAAAAAAAATGCTTGCAAACTATAGCGATGTTCAATTTATGAGCAAATTGTTGTTGTTTTGAAACTGTTTCTGATTAAAAAAATTCAATTCTTATCTCATAAATGGAAAGGTCATGAAAATGCATTGGTCAAAACTCCATAGATAGCCATTGAACATTTAGACAGAAAACTTGAGGAGTTAACAGATGTTTTCTCATTGGTGGTCATAAATCTGAAGGCAGCTGTGCACTGGTTGTATGAAAATTAGTCACGTGCTGATTTAGAATTCCTGAACTGCACAAATGAACTTCCAGATCTGTTTTCTGTACTTATGATTTGGAGTAAGAACTTAAACCTACATTGTTGATTTTGGCTCAAGTGTCATGTGCATGCTTGTGAACAGAAAAGTTCATCCTCCTCATAGTTATTGAGAAGCTTTGAGAAAGTTTTGACCAGTGGAGTTGCAGAACGTACAGAGGATAATACAGAATTTGTGAGCGTGGAAAGTGTTGAACAAAGCCAAACATTTGAGTGCAAGAAAGTATCTTGTATGTGTTCCAGCTCAGTGTCAAGAGGTCTCTGTTTAATTATTAATAGTGGATGTTGTCAGTAGTTGTGCAGAGCTACAGGCTGTACTGGTGTGTTGTAAAGGGGCATTCGGTTCCTGCGGGTCTTGAGTTGGCATCTGTGCTATTATTCCTGCCCAGATCTCAACAATCTGTGTTAACTTTGGCATCACGTCGTCCAAGAACTTCTGTTCTACAGGCCTTGAATAGTTTGGTCAACCAACGCTGATATTGCCAGCTTTTCCCTTTTACAAAGCGTTTCTTTAATATGGAAAATTATTTGAGTTTGCTCTTTGCATCCTTGCGAATAGATTGTCTGGACTGTGTTTTGTGTGACAAAAGTTGTTTAAAGCGTCTTAATGACAGTGGGTTGAATGTATTTAGGCTATATAAAAAGTGATTTGTGTATACAGTAGTTTCCAGTGTTAATACATTTTCTATCTAAACTTAACAAGAGACTATTAAAAATAAGTCATTTGTAGGTTGATTTCCCAAAACACTGTGGAGCTTTCATAACATCTTCTGCTTGTTTAGTATCCAGACCAGTCTGATATAGATCTAGCTCATCCAATGGTCTGAGTTCGAGGCGGGGCTAAATGTTTGGCTGACCAATGGCTGGTTAGAAGAGTGTTTGGGAAAACTGTTTACTATTTTTGAAACTCAGATTTATTGGGTGTCGAGTGCAACCAGACTAATTTTGTGGACTGAATGAATTACATTATGTAAAATTCAGTAAATGAAATGCTTCTGTTCTACACAGATTGTGCATTTTGTGAATGAAATGCATTAATGACGTGCTGAATCACAAAAAACTCCCCTTTCGTGATTGTTTTGTCCATTCTGTTGTGGACAAAAAGCATTTTGTGACATGCTAGGTGCATTTTGTTCACAAATTAGTTTTTTTGTTGCTCACAAAATGCCTTACATTCACAATTTTTATAGACAAAATTAGTTTTAAGTTTGGTATTTGGTGCATGACGTGTGACTTTAGTGTTGACGAATACTTAAATAGATTCAGTCCACAACATTAGTCTGGTTACGCTTGGCGCTCTTCAGTTCAGTGATGCTGGTGGTGCAGAAATGTACACTTTCCACTCCACAAATACATGCGGTAAAATTTAGGTCCTCTTTACACCTGGTATTAAGATGTGTTTTGGTCGATCGGATCACAAGTAGACGAGGGAGACATACCAGTTTACACCTGGTGTTTTAATCCGTCTCTTTTGTCCACTTTCATCCACTTCTGTCCTGATTTCTTTGAGGGGAGGGTTTATAAGGGGGGAAATGTATGTGTTTTTTCAGATCTTTCGATCTAATGGACAAAATAAGCTCGCTCAATTTACATATGAACGCACTCGGAGACGATGATAAACCACACGGAGAGCATCAGCTTTAGTTTCTGCTCGGACAGTCTCAAGATCAGCCGGACGCTGTGAGTGTGTGTTAGAAATCAGGAATGGAGAGAGAACATTGTGCTTGGTACATTTTCCATCTTCAAACCAAACTTGGGTCTTAAATCCAGTCTGGCTAGAGCTTTTCCTGTGATGTTTACTCATTATATCAGTAGACGGAGAGCAGACGGTGTTTTGTGGCTGTTTGAACACATTCATCCACATGAGCGTTTACACTACGAAATCAATCCGGTCAAATGTGTTTTCAACTCCCTCTGGAAGTGGTCAAAAATGGACCCCGTTTACACCTGTATTTAGTGTCGTCCACTTGTGATCTGATCGACCAAAAAAAGACAGGGCCTTAAAGACAGAATCAAGAAGACTATATTTTGCAGGTAGCTAGTCTTGAAAAATCTCACTCTTACTGAAAAGTATGAAACTTGAGCTTGTATGAAACCCTTCACCTTGAAGAGACCTCACGTTGAAATGCAACACTCAACGGAGAGCGTGTTTCCCGAGTCGTTCCCGGTGCATTCTCCTTCTTTTCATAGACAGGGTGTCCTTGCAGACGGCAAAGACTTGGATACTACAGTACACACATGGCACACACACACCCATGCGTGTGTGTGTCTCAGCAGGCACACCCTGCACCTCTGCCTCAGCACAATGATGGCGGCGGGGTATTGATCCTGGTTTCCCAGCGGAGAGTTGCATGCTCGCTCCAGAACACACTTCATTCTGAGGAGGACCAGGGGTTTGCTGCGTCAGCCGGAGTGTGAGAGGATGAATGAGCTTATGATCTATAAGGAGATGCGAGTCTGCAGAGAGAACTCAAGCTCTTCATCAATAACACTAATAAATAGGCTTCTTTTTTCGGGACGCTCAAACTTTTCCTCCTCCATTGCAAGATTGCTGTCTGCAGCCTTTCCATTGACTTTCCTTTGAGTCAATATAAATCTAGTTTAGAGGAGGCGGTTGCAGACAGGAGTCTGATTGGAGACGAGCCTCTTTATTTGTTTGATTGTTGATCTATTGCAGGAAACATGTTTTCTTCTTTCAACCCTATTAATATTCCGTCAGCGAAGTGATGATGCTTATAGGTTTGGGTGAATCTCTTAAAGGGGTCATATAATGGTACATGCACGTTTACAAGTTGATTGTACTGAAATGTGTGTTGGCAGTGCCTGTACACAACCATCATATAATGATAAAAATCCATCCAGTGTTTTTGTTTTAATCTCCTTATATGTTTTCCCCTGCCTTAAATTGAGCCGTTCGACCTTGTGACGTCACACGCTCGGAAGCCCCTCCCACGATTGTTGATTGACAGCAGCGTTTCAACACAGACCCGCCCTCGCTCGTGAGCCAGCTGTCAATCATAGTCTGCGCGGACCGGCGCGGTCATTGTTGATATGCTGGAGCGCTGTCTATGAGCAGAATGGCGTCTAAGCGATTGTGGTGTTCTGTTCTTGGGTGTAATAACGAACACAGTCATTTTAATGTTCCTAAATCCGAACCGCTGAAGACGCAGTGGCTGAGTTTGTTTTCGAAGGGAATATTCCCCACGAGCAACGTCAATGCTCTCATGTTTGCGCGAATCATTTCTCACCAGACTGCTTTATAAACGAGGAGGTATAAAGCTGGTTTTGCTAAGAAGCTGCTCATGAAAAAAGGATCTGTACCAGCTATTCGTGTTCCTGCTGAACCTCCAGAAGAACTGAAGTGAGTGTAACGTTTTATTAAACTTTATATTAATATTTATATTAATCTTTGCAAATCGCCAGCTGCACGCTTCACAATGGCCCTCATTTATC